GTGGTAGTTGTGTTCCAGTGGTTAATAACTCTTTCTATTAATAAACTGTGGAATTTCATTTGTCTGGTTTGAGCCTCCAGACATTGGTTCTTCTTATGCCTTTCTCCTCTAGATTACAGTACCTTTAGTACCCAAGTATGTTCTCCCCACAAAGGTACTTGCCCACTGTAATCATGTCTCCTCTCACACTTCTTTTGATCAATTAAATTGATATTGGGTGTGTTAAGTCTCTCACTATAAGGCATGTTTTCCAGCCTTTGAATCATATCTGTGGCTCTTTTCATCATTCTGTCCAATTGTTCATGTCTCTTTTATGATGGGAACACCAGAAGTGGATACAGTATTTCAGTATCAGTCTCCTCAATGCCATATACACAGACGGGCCCACCAACCAGGGTGGGGTGGTGGTAGGAGGAGCTAAGGGAGAATTACCCTAGGGCCCAGAAATTCAGAAGGGCCTGGAGCCCTGGACCCTTTAAATTACCACCAGAATGCCACACTCCAAGGGTTACTCAAAAACTGAAATTGCATTTGTTTGATAAAATCTGTTTTCCAGAAAACTATTATAGAACTAGCCTTTAACTACTTTGCTAATTGTCTCCCTGTCATGAGTTCCTTTTGTGGCGTTCGGTCTCCAGTCGCCATCACTCCTTTCCTGTATCGCCTTCTGCCCCTCGGGCTTCCTTAGGCACTTTTAAATCCCCCGCCCTGGTGTCCGGAACTCCACGTCCCATGGTGTCCCCGATCCTCCCCCCTGGCTCGTTGGCATGATGTCCCCAGAGACATCATCCACATGCGTCCCGGGTGGCCGATGGACTGCGTCTCCTGCTCTACCGCCCGCACTTCCTACAGCTGTTCCCCGGCCGGGCTTTCCCACAGCTCTCTGCCCCTGCTCCACAACCCCCCAGACTCCCCGCTTCAGCATTTGGAGGGGGGGGGTCAGAGGTGCCCCGTCACACTCCCATATCAGTTTTTCCCATTATTTTGCCCTGCAGTGATGTCAAGCTAAACCCTCCAATTACCCTGGCTGGCCAGCCTGCCCTTTTTGATGATATTGGCTCTTTTCCAGTCTTCTGAAATTTTCAGATGGGTTGCGCCGGGTTCTGATTTCATTGCCATTTGATCCCACTGTAACTCAGCCGGCTTCAAGTGTACATGAGAAGAGACATTGGGAAGTTCTCAGTTACCTCGCAGGTCAGATGATGTTTCTGATTTGCAGGCCAAAAAGGGTGCAGGACACTAGTCTCTGCATATGTGTAACAGTCATTACATATGGCCCAATCATGCAAAGTGCTGAGCAACTCAACTCCCTTTCATTTCATTGGGAGCTATGGGCACTGAGCATCTTGCAGAAAACACTCACAGGACTGTGCCCCTAGTAGAGAAGATGAGATCTGGATATAACTGGGGCTCTTAGGTTCTCTGGTAATACAAATTAAACCAGCGCTCTCTGGTCCAGCAATATCCGTAGTCTGGCATGATTTTACTTAGCCGGATGTCCACTTATCAAGGGTGTGGCCAACATTCCCAGGGTCCATAAAGTTTGTTTACAGCCACCAGTCCTGGCTCTGTGCTGTTTTTAGCTCTAATTTACCCCTAAAGGCTCATCTAGACTATGCTAAACTGTCGAAAGAGGATATGCAAATTCCACGGGAATTTGCATATCTTCTTCAAATCTCACTAAAGTGAAAGTAGTTTGCACATGGCTTTTTCGGTGAACTCCCCCTTTTTCAAAAAGCCACTCTTCCTCAAAAAATGAGGTTTACATGGCTTTTCGAAAGGGGGGGGGGGCGCCAAAAAAGCCGCGTCCAAACTACTTTCACTTTCAAAAGCTCTGCTTTTGAAAGTGAGATAAGAAGAAGACATGTAAATTCCCACCGAATTTGCATATCCTCTTTCGACACTTTAGCGTAGTCTAGATGAGCTCTAAATGTCTTCTAAGAGCCCACTAAGCAGTGGAAGTGTTGGTAAAGCTGCTAGACAATACTGCCCTCCCATGGTTCAGGACCGGTCAGGTCCCAAAGGTGCCAGACTAGAGAGGTTCAACCTGTACAAATAAACAATACCCTGCTGAGATACATATCCTTAACCCCATATGTCACATGGGACACAGAATTCACATGACTTGCCCAATGCCAGAGCTCACAACAAGCTAGGAATAGAACCTAGGAGCCTGGTTCCCAACAACCTGCTCTAACCGCTAGGCTCTGGTGGCAATACACAGCTCAGTGAGCGTGGATGCCTTAAGTTTTGTAGCCTGAGCATGTTGTGCCATAAACAGAAGCTGGAAAGAAACACACATAATGGGGTATTACAACAAACATGGAAAATACAGCCCACCAGATGGTGAATGCCCATAGTCTGAAATATGCACAAAGGAACTGGCAATCTTTTAAGGAGAATATTTCCAGTGTCTGGATTTTTCTCTCTCTAGTTCACTGACTTCAGTTCACAAGTGCTACTTATTTTCCAGATGAACGTTGTGTTGGGAGAAAAACCAAAACCCCAAAGACCTCAAGTCCAGTTGTATAAGATGTCCAGGAAATCAGTCTGCCCAAACAAACAAATCAACCAGATCAATTCTGAAGCAGAAAGATTTTTTTAACAACTTCTTTTAAAAAAATGCAACAACAAATCTCTTCCCTAAAAGGCTCAGACTTGCCCAGGAAATGTATTTCTGTCCTCTTCAGGCACTACCGTTGTCACTCCCAGTGGGGAAACAGACTAATCCAGCTCTCAAGTTTTCTATGAATGAATTGGACAGCAAAGCAATTAGACACGAAAGCATAAACCATTCATCCAAAAATAGCCACCGACAGAATAGCTGTTGTAAACTCATGTGTTCCTCCCACACACACATACGTCTCCCCCTACGCACATATTGTCACGGACATTAACTAATCGGAGAGAGCTAGAAAGACTATGAATCACTTGTATAAATGTATGCAGCCAGCTATATAATTAGATAGAAAAGACCTCCTCCTCATCCTTTTGAAAAATGGCCTCTAGTTTTGAGAACCAAGGGCTTTGTGCTTGCAAAGCAAGCTGTGGATTGTATGGTACTGCCACAGCTAATGACTTGATTACACCCACAAGATGTTTACCTGCATTTTCAGAAACAGAACTACAGGTACTACACTGGAGGCATAGATGAGGCAATTTTGAAAATCAAGGCCGTGATATTAAGTTTCAGTCCCCTTTAGAACATTGCTTCCTCTCATGGTAATTAAGGCTATGATTGGTCACTGATGTTTTTAGTAAAAGTCATGGAATGGTCATGGGTAATAAACTAAGTCATGGCCTGTGACTTGTTCATTATGTGTACTATATAAATACACCTGACTAATACTTGGATGCTAGGGATGTAAGCGAGTCGTCGACTAACTGATAAGCCTAGGCTTCTCTGTTAATCTACTCAGTTAATCACATTCCTCCTTCCCTCCCTGAATCAGAGGCAGCAAGGTGGGGGGCAGGAGAGGGGAAGCAGACTTAAAAACTGGCTCCCCACAGCACTGTCTCTGCAGTGCCCACAGTGCAGTATGGCAGGGGAGGGCAAGAGGACGTTGCCCCACATCCCATAGATCAGCTTCTGTTTGCAGCAAGTTTGGGCCCACCCTACTCTCCCTCCCCCAGCAGCTTCTGTCTGTGGGGAGCTTGGATCTCTGTGCTGCCACCACGCTGCTGCCTCATAATCAGAGGCAGCAGCATGGGACAGCAGGCAGCCAGTCTGTGCGGGGAGCTGGTTTTTAAACTGGCTCCCCTTGTGGATTGGCTGCCACCTGGCACCCTGCACTGCTGCCTCTGATGCACTGGCTGCCAGCCCCACCCCCAGGGACTATAGAATAGTTGGCTAACTGCTAAGAATTTGTGCCATTAGTCGACTATTCTATTACCTGATAGCTAACATCCCTGTTGGGTGCTCTGGGGAGGGGGGTCTCCCACCTGCAGCTGCTGCTCTGAGGAGGGGACTCCAGCAACCACTGCTGCTGCTGGGAGAGGAGCAGCCCAGAGCCCTGGCCTTCTGCTATAGGCAAGGAATGGCCCAAGGCCCTGCTGCTACTGCTCTGGCAGCAGGGCACCACTACTCTTTTCATAACAGTGCTCTAGGGCAGCACTCTGGACCAACTCCCTGAAGCTGCCTGAGCCACAGCATCTTGTGAAAGAAAGTAAGATTTATACTGTCGCCATATTGCTAAGACACTGCCAGTGCCTCAGGGCAGGGTATTTCCTCCAAGGGAGGCCATGTGGCTCAGCAGGCAGCACATTGGCCTATGAATCAAGAAATCTAGGCTGTACTAAGGTGGTGCAATGCTGGCTGATACAGCACCTAGAAAAATCACAGGAACAGCACTGTGACCCACAAGGCCTGAGTTTGGTTCCTAGACAGCAAGATAGACAATGTTTAGTCCAGGGGTGGCCAACCCATTACAGACAAAGGCCAAAATAGTGGTGGATACAGCCATGACTCTGGCTTTTTCAGACAGAAACATGCTGCCCCTTTCAGAGCCACAGTTGCAGATGCAGGAGCCACAATTTTTTCTTTGAAGAGCCACATGCGACTCACAAGCTGCGGGTTGGCCACCCCTGATTTAGTCACTTCTCTGGGGAACAAGGAGTTTAGTTTAGGTTCATTTCAGGGGTGTAGCTATGGGTGGACCTGGGTGGGCTGTGGCCCACTCATTTAGCATCCAGGTCCACTCCTGTGTCATCTCTGCATGATGAGAAGCAGGGGTCTGCCTTTTCTCAGGCCAGTGCTCTAACCACTGGGCTTTGGGATGTCCTGCTGTGCCCACTTCCCAGGTGAGCACCCTGACCACTGGACTAATGATTACATGGGAGTGTCAGCTCCCTCCTGGCTGTTTTGTGTGAATTTGCCTGCTGGAACCCAATCCAGTAGCAGCCTTTGAAGACATCTACCGGATTGGGCCCTGCAGGCAAGTTGGACAGAGGAATGCCATTCTTCCCCTGCTTTGGGATCTACCCTGGGGTTTGTGGGGAGCCAGGCGTCCAGATGACTAGGGAAAGGCAGCAGTACACATGCCCAGAAGAACATTTGTACTGCAGACACTGAGGGGCTGAGCGAGTTTAACAGGGACACACAGGATTTTGCAGAAGTTCTGTCCAGTGCAGCAGAGCCTGAGACTGGGACTTGGGTGCTGGAGAACCTTCATGAATCCAGGCTTTGGACTGCTCTGCCAGGTTATTCCAACTCTAAAATGAGGCTAATGAAAGTTAGCATCTTTGTGAGGTGCCTGGAAGTCTCCAGCTAAAACATGCTGTAGAACAGCTAGGTATTACCATTAGTTCTCATTACTCTGTGTACAGAGAGGTAGCATAATGGGGCCTCCATCCTGATGGAGGATTTAGGGAGCTGCTGGAACATGATGATGATAAAGGCCCAAAGCACAAGTCCTGAGCATCCCAATGCGAGCAAAAGGAACTCTGCACCTCACAAGATATGGCCAACATGTTCAAATGTCTTCCTGAGTTTGGGGTGCCCAGCTCGTGCACACTTTTGAAAATTTCAGCCCTCCTGAGACCACTCCTAGTATTTATAACCGGAGAAGACAGGGTCTTGATTTTTAAATTGTATCCAAAAGGCTCCCTGCTGCCCCGTTCCAGAGTAAAATGCATGACTCCATGTTAACTTCCATGTAGTGACAAAGAGCTCACAGTTGTTGCTGCACTGTGGAAATGGGGTTGAACCTGCAATAATAAGAACTATTAGAACTGATCACCCACACCCACATACATGCCAGAAAAATCTGGCTTTTGGGTTAAAAAATGTAAAATGATCAGTTTTGGGCCCAGCATGAAAATGGTGATTTGGAAATGCTGACACATGGGAGTTGTATTTTGGGTGCCTTGTGCACCCATGAGGTTCCAGGCTTCCTGCCTGGCCTACATCTCCCACAAAGCACCACAGTTGCTTCTCTTGCTGTGCACCATGGGACTCCATGGAAGTGGTGCATCATGGGAGATATAGTTCCACTAGGGAACCTGGCCTATAAAAGAGAGTGGAGGCATGAAGCAGTCGGGGGCACCACAGCAACATTTGTGAATTAATTGTTTGGTTTGGTTTTGTGTTGTTTTGACATGCCTAGTTTTTTTGAAAAAAAGTTGAAGGTATCCTTAGAAAATAGATACTTTTTGAAAAGCATTTAATGTTTATTTGGAAAGCCAATTTTCTGTCAGTTTGAAAATTCTCTCTCAAAAATTTTCAACCAGCCCTAATAACTGCAGCATACCTAATCCATACCACTCGGGTCACAGCATCAGTAGGAGCCTCATGCCATTTCAAACGTAACTCTCTGGGTCTGTGCACAATCAACACAGAAACAAAACAGTGGGATGAAAAATCCAGGTTTGAACAAAAGAAAACAAAGAGAAAAGACTTTTAAGGTGGAAATGCGGCAGGGAAGGAAGAGGAGAGCCATGAATGAGCTTTTCACAGGAGAAGAAAGGGGTGTGGTGAGAGAAAAGGAGAGGGCTACTTTCCTAAGTTACCAAATCATACCAATGACAGCTTTTCAAAAGCTTTCAAAACCCCCTTGGAGACACGTCCCTAGAGGGAGCTTTTTTGGATTCCTGTATTCACACGCACAACCTCTGAAAGTCAACAGCTGTATTCCAGGCAGGCTTTTCCAATCCACTTCATAGACACCCAGAGCAGCCATCAGATGAGTAACTTGCAGAGTGACCTTAGTTCCTGAAAAGCAGCAAAGAACATCTGGAGTCAGAGAATGATTCATTGTTGGCTCCAAAGCAAACATTAACAGGAAATGACTATTAAGATCTGAAACTCTACCGGGCCAATGCCTAGGAAACTTCCGTCCTGGCTGACTAAGAAAAAGCATCACTAGTTTGCAGAGTTGATTATCAAGCTTCAGTGTATTTTCCTGGCAAATAAATAATTTTTGAGTGATTTTCTTTTCTGCCCCGTGAGCAAACACTGTATAAAAAAAACCAGTTGAGTGAATGCCAAATGGCAAACATTGATGAAGCCTTTCTTTGTTACCATCACTCACATCCAGGGGCTGTTTGGAGAATGCCATCTCTAAATAACACACACACAGGTTCGTGCTTGGGAAATGATTCATGCAGCCACTCAATACATCCTTGCGAGAATAAAAGCATTCAGATCAATCTCCTTATAGGTTCCTTCATCTGCATGTGGATCAGAAAAGGGGAAACCTGAGAAGCAAACCTGTCATGGCTCTTTTAATGCACTTCATCACAGTCAAGCCGTTCCACATTGATGCAACCGCCAGTGAGTTTCTTTGAGGTGTTTATTACTATCAGCATGCCGTAGCTTTTGGGATTATTGGAGGCCCAGATGTGGGGATAATTCAGGCATGACTCAACCCTCCCTTCCTGTGCAAAGCAAAAGTTAACAGGGTTAGGCTTTATTGCACAGAGGTCAGAGTTTTCCACCCACAAGTAGGGGTGCTGCCTCTCGCTACTATAAATGCTGTGCTCCTTTAGGCAGAGGTATTTGGCTGCTTGGTCCATTTAGTTATGGATCCACTAGTCATACTGAGACCCTTCACTTTGCACGTAATGTATCTCCTCTGGGCTACAGTTCATGGGCCACAGTTCCATTGCATTCAAGGTTTGCAGTTTCTCCCTGCTCCCACTATCTATAGGTATTTTCTCCCTCCCCTTCCCATGTGCACTGACATCACTTTGCTTCACTGCCTTTCAGGACGTACTTGCTCAGGTGGGGTGAGGACTAGGATTTGTCCTCACATAATTTTCTCTTCCCTATCTAGTGGGTAGCTTCCATCTCATGCTGCCTTCAAGATCAGCAAAGTCTTGGACCCCAAGAAGAAATGAATGATTCAGAAAACTAGAAATGGGATAGTCAGCAACAGTAAATCAGCAGTTCTAATCCAGTAATAATGACTAAAAGTTGTTACTATCTGATGACTGTTTATTGACTTGGGCTAAACAAGATGCTGGGCCCTTCAAGGGTCCAAATCACACTGTTCCCTCTTTTGTTGGTCGCCTCAGCAGAGATGCTCATGAAGACTGACTCTCCCCCTCTCCTCCCCCTTCAGCTCAGGGCTGTATTTGTCAAAAATGATGGAGGCACCTTGGTGGAGAAGTGTGAAGAAGTTTGCCCTACCAACACTGCACCTCTTCTGTGAACGGATTGAGCCACCTAAATTGTGGATGTGGTTCAATGTTACAGTTTCAGGATGTGACCAGCCAATCAAAGTATGTTCTGAAGTTGTACTGTGCTTATCTCCTTGCTTTTCTGGCTGTGTGACCTATCTCTGAGCATCCCGTTGGAAACTGAAATGGGTGGGGTCTCTGGAAGCTCAGAAATTTCGCTCCCAGTTTTGCAGTTAACATGCTGTGGCAAGGTCCTTGCCCAGGCCCCTCGCCTTGGGACCCCTTCTTGGGTCACAAATCAACCGGAGACCTTTTCTGGTGCAGTCATTATTGTCGGCACCAATTTCCCACCACCTTCTATTTACAGAGCTTTTGTTCACAGCGCACTCAGCCAGCCTCTCCTTCTGGCTGGGCACCACACTCAGCCACAGCCTGGCTCCTCACTCCTCTCCTTTTACTGCCCCTCTAGATGCCTTATCTAGCCCTCTGGCTAATTAGGCCTACTGCTACTTCTATTAGCCCTTCAGGCCTGGGCTTGCTCAGCTGGTTTCCATTTGGCCTTTTCAGCCAGACTGTAGTGGCAGAGCTCTGGCTTAGCCAGCAGTCTATTGTAATGTTTTTAATAATCATCACTTGTTATATTTCTAACTTTCCTCCTCACTCAAATTTTCAACACCAAAATGCCATATGGCAGGTACAAAAACATAAAGTGTATTGTGCTGTAATACTGGCTGAGATTGTGTAATCATGTCTCCCTCTAGTGGACATATGGAGAATTACACATTCCTCCTCTTACTCTGAACTGAATTACTTCTTTAGTTCAAGTGCTAGAGATACATGATTTTAGATCTGTAGGTACCAGAATGCATGGGCCAATATCCAAGTATGAATTTGTGATCCTCTGCTCAAAAGACGTACATTTCTCCTGTTTAAATTAAAGGAGAAATTCCCCTACCTGGTAGCCTGTAGCAGGCTTTATGAACTAGCCACTAGAGAAGATAAAGACTTCCATGCTCAGTGTAGGCTACACGTGTGAATGGCCATTTAGCTAACTAGCCATCTGTGCATGCAAATATCTCATCTGCAATAACAGTGCACACAAAAATTCAGAATTCAGCTTTCCATCAAAATGCTGATATTTAGAAAATGAGACTCATTTACAAAAGGACCCAATCACAATAATAGTGTTAATATGTCTTCTACTTTTCCATGATAAACAAGTGGCATGGTTTGAGACAAACCCCCACTGAAGGTATTTCAGTATTTTAGTCTGCTTCTGGTCTGTTTTTATCATACATAAACTCAACAAACAAAAGATAAAAAATTAATCCAGACTAAAAGGGGCTCTGGGTATATTAGTGGCCCTGTGCACAACAGAATGTGGGATCAGGACTAATCTCAGAGAAAATAAACTGTTTTATTCAGAGCCAGCTCCATCCTCCAAAGAAACCACACTTCATGCTCCTGATGTTATGACACACCCTAGAGGGAAAAAGCCCTCCAAGCCAAATCTCATAGATACATCATAAATGATCAGCCAACACAGGAAACAAGTGCCTCTTTTACATCAGCTTTCATCGGGTTGCTAGGGACCAGGAAATCAACATTGTTGCCATGGCGATGTCACTTCATCACCATTCAACACACAGATCACACAAATGCAACAACAGGCGAATGTGCGCAGGCCAGACCAGAAAAGACTGGGAGCAGGAGCAGGTTTCCCACTTCTGGGCAGAGGGTTTTGCTAAGAGAGCAGATAACTGGGGATCTGTGTTTACTTGGGTTTTTGGAGCTACTTACCAAGGAAAGATGGGGTGAAACAGAGAGACGTGCTGTATCTTAGTTTTGGCTTCTGTTTCATAATACTGCTGACCCCAGCTGGGCCCAGTTCTCTGTCCTGGTTCTATCCTCTTGATGCTGCCTTAGTGGCATGAAGAATCCAGAATCTGGCCACAGCTAGCTGGTTGAAAATTCTTCCCCTGTGTGCCTTTCCCAGGAGCCAGCATGTTAGCAGAGGTGGCTTCCACACACCCTCTCAGAGTGAGGGATATGACAGGGCAGCAGACTGGCTAGCTAGGGATGGATGCACTGCTCGCTAAATCCCAGCGGCTGTGCAGTCCCCCTTGGGGATTGTTGCCACATATCATCAGTTACAGCAACATACAGGAAACTGTAACTTGCACTGCAGCAGGGAAATTTGAGAGTCAAGGAATCCTACTTGACTTTCTCCAGCTAGATTCCAGCATAGGAGAGACTCTGTCCTACAACCTTCGCCCACATGAGAACACCAGTGGGAACTCACAAGAATTTTTGCTGCTAAACAAGAAAAGATCTGCTGCGTTCTATTGTCCAAAACACCGCAACTTAAAATAGTGCTACTACTGGGCCAAATGCGGCAGTGCTTGCTCCGAGCCTCCAGTTTGCTTTGGTTTGCGCTCCAGCAAACTCCTGTTAAGGTCAGTAGGGCTTTACCTGAGTAATAACTAGCACAGACCTCAGGGATTTGGCCTCACTGATTCCCATGGGAGTTTTGCTGTTAAGATCAGAACTTTTTTCTTTGTCCAAATATCAAAAACTCTAAACATCAATCCTGGAGCTGGTTCATGGTCAGGATTCATTGGTGACTCATGGGGAAATTTGGAACAGTAGCTTTCCTCTTTTTATGTGTAAAGATCTTGAATGCTAGAAAGGCTATTTATGTTTTTAAAAATCCCCCATGATGTTATACTGATGGATAATAATCATAATAACAGTAAGTAACTGAAGCAACTGTAATTAAATATAATTGTAATAGTTACCCATATCCAGGAAGCCAGAAGAGGCAGGATCCTTTATGGACCAACTAATAAAATTCTTCATTCTGTGTTAAATGTCTAGTTACTGCAGGGCTGGGTTCTTTAGGGGGGAGAGAGAGAGAGACAGAGAGAGAGAATGAGTGTGTGTGTGTGTGTGTGTGTGTGTGAGAGAGAGAGAGAGAGAGAGAGAGAGTGTGCACATGTGTGTGAGAGAGAGAGAGAGATTTGACTTCCCTTGTCCTCAGCCTTGGTATCAGGCACAGTAATCAGCAGAGCCAATGATCACGCTGTAGCATTCAGGCACGTGCAGAAATCAAATAGCCATAACTGTCTCCTAGCTATTAGAAGCAATTGCTGGTGCCGAGGATCACTGAAAACCCCTTCAATATCCTGCCACGTGTCTTCATTTGCCAGGTGAGCATGCGAGACACTGTCAGCTGCAGAAAGAATATCTGCTGCATGTGTCTGAAGAAGGGAAAGAACCATGAGCATACATAGCCGACTGGTGCCTGTGGGGAGGGGACAGAGGGAGGACTACCCAGAAGAATAGGGAGGGGGCATGAGGGGACAGTCAAGTAGCAGTTAATATTTTGGTGGAGGCATGGTGGGGGGGCCTCCCGAGTGCTAATGCGAGTCACCTATGGTAAGGTGTAGAGCAGAAAATCTCGCTAGGTATATTGAACGGCTACTTTTAGCCATAAACACAACCAGAGACATCAGAACTGGTTCCTTACCAATGTTCAAATGAAAAAAAAAACAATCTTCAGTTGATTTATTCTCCACTAGCATTTGACCCATTCTACAGTGCGACAGGAGGGACTGGGAAATACTAAGTTACAGAAAACTCTACACAGAACCTGAGGACATTTAGAAACCAAATGCAGATTCGACATGGGCAAGTGCATCCAAGGAAAAAATAATCCAGGCTACAGGGATTCAATGGGCTAGGAGGAGATGAAAGCAAGTAAATGTGAAAGATTAACTCAACAGCAAGCTTGCAGCCCAACACAGTAGCAAAAAGGGCCAATATGGCTCTGGATGCCACATTATGGGAAGGAAATTTATACATTTGAAATGCAGCATTGAGGTCAATAAATGGTTGCAGGGAATGGACTGTGTGATCTAATAGTTCTTTTCCATCTCTAGCATCCAGGACCCCCTGGGTCTGTCTCTGACAGCTGGCTAATGGGGCACATGTATCAGCAGTCATGTCATACTCCCCGTCGGTGCCCAGCCTGGGCCAGGAAAGCTAATGATCCAGCCAGCAATCACATCACTATGCCACCCAAGGTGGGTTGCACATATGCTGCAAAGTGGGCTAATTCCAGCTGCTTCAGAGACAGGTAATCCACTTTCAGCCTCCCGGGGGTGAAAATCCCCTCTGTTCAGAGAGGCAGCATAAGAGCTGTGCACCAGTGGGAATATGACCCCACATCCAAACACCTTAGTGCAAAGCCTAATCTGAATCTCTTCTGGATGTTACTTATGCCTGGTTAAAAGAACCAGCAGCTTCAGTTCTGATCCAGCACCAGGACACACAACAGCGTCAGCGGCAGTGGCAGTGGCAGAAGAGCAGCACACACCCATCTTACAGACCACTAGTCTGTGTGTAACCACCACCCAGCAGCTTTGAACCAGCTAGTCCTCAGCGTAGGCTGGAGAGCTCACTTATTCTTACCTCTTGCTGTAGGTGGTCTAGGTGCCACTACATGGGACAGTGACCCACACCCACAAGGTGTGTGGGTTACATGTGCAGCACAGCAGTGGCACCAGAAAGAACCATTTCAAAATGGGAAACATTGTTTTGTGCTCTTCACAAATAATATAAACAAAATGACTCCAGAGTCTGTCCAGACTCTGACCATATTATAGATGAGAAAAAATGAGGCATGCACATGTGATGTGAGTTTACCAAGGGTACCCAGAATGTCAGTAGCAGAGCCAGGAACAGTAGTCAGATTTTTGGATTCACCAGCCTGGCTCTAAGCACAAGACCCTCTTTCATAAGTAAAGCGGGTGGGATGTGCTTTTCCTAAAGGAAATTGCCTTCCAATGGTGGAATTTGATTGTGCAAGATTAAACCAACATAGTGCTAATGGATAACCCCTGGGGAAAAAAAATAGTTATTTCCTCCATTGGACTTTCTATTTAGTCCTAACCCCTCTATATTTGTCCTCTAGATTATAAACAGCTCACAGCATGAACCATCTTCATTGTGGGCCTGACCTCTAACCCCTTTTCCATTGACTTCAGTGGGCTTTGGCGCTCGCCCTTAGGACATTGTGAGAATAGTTATTACTACTTGTATTGCAGGGGCCATATTCAGGATCAGAGCCCCATTGTGCTGGGTGCTATGTAAACACACTGGAAGAGCAAATCCCTAATGATAAATAATAATCCTGTTCATTGCCCCAGAGGAAGGTAGGAAAAGGCAATTTTACAAAGAATGTTTGTACAGGACTATGAATAACAGTTGTTGCTTTGTGGCTATTTATTACACTCTGGTACACAGAAGAACAATAATTCTTCCTTTGTTTCTCTCCCAAGTGTACAGAGCCTGCAGATAGGATACACAGATCCCCAGCAATAAAGAAAATGGAAAAAATTCAAATTGTTTGCCAGTTAACTCAGATTTGGAGCAGCACCCGTGGTTTAGGTTTAAAAATAACCCCCTAAATCTCATTTAATGGCTGCCATCAAAATCCGATCTGAATCCTAATGCAATTTTTTTCCTTCCTTCTTTCTCCATCCATCTAGTCCCAGAGAAGAATGACAAAACATTGTCATTACCTGTCCTTCATCTCTCTGTGTAGCTCTGTGTAATTGAGACGGCGTTTGACTCAGTTGTTGAAATCCTAGCACTGAACATTCATGCTTCTTTTTCCCAGAAAAGAAAGGGAAAATTGCTGGCATTATACAAAGCGTCTGTATTTTGGTTTCCCTGGGTATTTTTCCCTTTGCTCATTGTGGCTTTTCAAAACTACCAGACTCACCCAACCAATACACATCTCTTTCTTTTTTCCCTGTGGGAGGCTGTGTTTTTCTTTCCACCCTGGAAAGTCATATGAGGTCTCAACAGTCTGTCTTCTGCTACGCTATCCTTTTAATAGGCTCTCCACTTTCCGACAGTAGCGCAAGAACCTAAGGCATTGGGCTAATCTTGTCCCTGAAAGCATAACACCCACCGTTTGCACTAGGTGCAGAATCAGCTCTGCTTTTGGAATAACACCACATTTTAAGGGGCATCTGGACTGGACTGAAGAAACTCTTGTACGTCTGTCACAGAAGTAAAGAAGATGATGTACCAAGGTCTCCCACATCACAGGCAGGGATTGAACTGAAGGGAAAAAAGGAGTAGCTGGACATCCCTAAACTCTGCCCACAAGCAGAACTCCACGCAGGTGAGATGCCCCAAGGAGATCTAGCTCCTAACAGATCATAGAATCATAGAACCATAGAACTGGAAGAGACCTCAGAAGGCCATCAACTCCAGCGCCCTGCTCTAGGCAGGACCAATCCCAAATAAATCAACCCAGCCAGGGCTTTGTCAAGCTGAGACTTAAACACCTCTAGGGATGGAGACTCCACTACTTCCCTAGGTAACCCATTCCAGTGCTTCACCACCCTCCTAGTGAAATAGTTTTTCCTAATATCCAACCTGGACCTCTCCCACCACAACTTGAGACCATTGCTCCTTGTTCTGCCATCTGTCACTACTGAGAACAGCCTTTCTCCATCCTCTTTGGAACCTCCCTTCAGGAAGTTGAAGGCTGCTATCAAGTCCCCCCTCACTCTTCGCTTCTGCAGACTAAACAGA